ACACACACACACACACACACACACACACACACACACACACACACACACACACACACACACACACACACGAGCCACGCAGGCAGGTGCGGACTCTACCGGATCTTGAGATCCACTGTAAACGTCTGGAGTTGCTCCTCGGGGTGCAGCGCACCTCAGCCTTCCATGTGGTCTTGTTAGCACTGTGTAAGTAAGCTTTAGGTGGCTCCTTGCCGGCCTCTCCTGAGGGACCATCTTTCCATCATGAGATGGTGGGCGCAATGGAAGGCAATGAGGAAATGCTCCAAAAGGAGTTAATGGCTGCAAATGGTGGACGTAAGACGGAGAGGCAGCCTAGGGACAAGGTGTGGGGAGCTAGCTCCCCCAAACACCGTGGCCAGAACACAGAAGCCAGAATTGGAGGAGGGCAATGGTAGGTGGGAGGGGGGCCTGGAAACTACCATATCAGAAAAGGGCCCCGGTGGGGTGGTGACCATCTAGGGAAGTCGAGTTTTAATAAACTTGACAAATCCTTTCTTCTTCTCTTTAGGAAAATATAGTGCTGTATCAGAAGGGCCAGGTCTCTGTCAAAGTGATTGACTTTGGATCAAGCTGTTATGAACACCAGAAAGGTAGGACTCACGCCACTCTGTTGAAACTCTGCCCACGTGGCAGTCGACGTGGCTGCCAGCCTAGCCTCGGCCACCACCATGTCCACCCCCGGGGATCATGAACAGGGAGCTCTGCTTCCTTGGGCCTGAGTTTCCTCATCTATAAGGCAAAGCTGGATTCAAGGATCCTAAGGGGCCTTTGAAGCTCTCATCGGGGTGGATTTGGAATTATCTGTGAGCACTGGGTCCCCAAGCCAAGCAGATGTGTCAGACCTCCATCTCAACAGTGGGAAACTGACTGTTGTCCCAGCCACATTGTGTGTGTGTGTGGGGGGGGGAGATAGGTACACAACACATGGACACATTATGCTGAATATAGACATTAAATTGAAATCATGGCCAGGCGCTGGTGGCCTACATCCGTAATCCTAGCTTATTCAAGAAACTGAGACCTGAGGAACAAGGTTCAAAACCAGCTTGGGCAGACAGGTCATTAACCAGCAACAAGCTGGAAGGTGGAGGTGTGGTTCAAGGGGTAGAGTGCCAGCCTTGACTGGAAAAAAGCTAAGCAAGAGCTCAAGACTGAGTTCAAGTCCATCCACCCATCCAGACATAGAAATAAATGAAGAAGAAAGACTCAAGGGGGGCTGAGAGGGGTGCTACTTAGCGTGGAGTCCTGGCCTGACCCTCCTGCCTGGCTTCCTGCAAGGCACCACAGCCATGAACTTAAATCTCGCATTTGCCTGTTTTCCTTTACAAGCCGGGAATCTTGCTTCCAGGTCAAATGCCAGTGCTCTCTGTCAATTCACTCCAAGTTCATCGGAGTCTACAAACTTTTTGTTAGTTTTATTGCTTCATTTTTTTTTTTTTGGTTGTGGGGCCTGAACTCTGGGCCTGGGCGCTGTCCCTCAGCTCAAGGCTAGCGCTCTACCACTTTGAGCCACAGCACCACTTCTGGTTTTCTGGGGGTTCATTGGAGATCAGAGTCTCACGGACTTTCCTGCCTGGGCTGGCTTTGAACCATGATCCTCAGCGTTCAGCCTCCTGAGTAGCTAGGATGACAGGTATGAACCACCAGTGCCCTGCCTTGTTCTGCTTTTTTAACTTGGCCTACCCGTTGGAGAGCCTTAGCAATGCATTGGCGACAGTACTGCTTAATAATGGGAAGACAGTATGAAAATGTCGCATGACCCACAAATGTGGGTGGAGGCACGTCCCTCCCCCCGCAAAGTGTTGGAAGGTCTAAATCATCCGCCAAGGTCTCCTGGAGAGAATGTTCTAGAAAGGAAGGGATCACCCTCACTTCATCTTGCTCAATCTTCCCGCCACAGTGTACACCTACATCCAAAGCCGTTTCTACCGGTCCCCCGAGGTGATCCTGGGTCACCCCTACAACACGGCCATTGACATGTGGAGCCTGGGTTGCATCATGGCCGAGCTGTACACAGGTTACCCGCTGTTCCCGGGGGAGAACGAGACGGAGCAGCTGGCCTGCATCATGGAGGTGAGGAGGACCCCTGGCCACCCTGCGGGATGGCCCACAACCCAGGACGGCTTTGCCCTTCACAAAGGCGGGTGCTCGCGCCATCCGTGCACGCCGGCGCCATCCGTGCACGCCGGCGCCATCCGTGCACACCCGCGCCATCCGTGCACGCCCGCGCCATCCGTGCACGCCCGTGCCATCCGTCCACACCCGCGCCATCTGTTTTTTTTCCTTTACTACAAGTATTTTTTTTCCTTTCCAGTGGTGTCCTGCTCCACACCTTGTACATTGTCGGCTTGAGAGATCTTTTTTTTTTTTTTTAATCACAAACGTAAATAGCTGCAGAGGATGGTTCCTCTCATATATAGTGACATGTGAGAATTAACCTATCAGTAGATGCCTGTGTCCACCTTAAAGGGAGGAGAGCAGGTCTCCTTGTTTTACCCTTCTCTTACTATGTTCTTCTTTCCCCCCAGAAAACTAAATAAAAATAGGTTAAAAAAATCAGAAATTTAGCTGGGTGCCAGTGGCTCATGCCTGTCACCGCAGCTACTCAGGAGGTTGAGATCTGAGGATCGCGGTTCAAAGCCAACCTGGGCAGGAAGGTCTATGAGGTATCTCCAATGAGCCACCAGAAAAATATTACTGGAGCTGTGGCTCAAGTGGTAGAGCACCAGCCTAGAGCAAAAGAAAAAAGGTGTAAGCTATAGGAGAGTGAACTCTGGCCTTGGAGTTAGCAGTTGGAGGGTCTGCATGCTGGTGAGTCACATTCTGGACTGGAAACAGAGGTTGTCTGGCAGAGAGTGTGGTTTTCGAGGTGATTTCACGAACCATCCCTGAATTCCTGCTTGCAACAGGAAGGAAAGTGGGCGTGGGTTGGAGTCCTTGACCCCACGCCGACTCGGCTCCTCCACAAAGATGAGGATGAGGGCTGGGTCAGCGTGGATGAGCCTAGAACACACAGGCCTCAGGGCCGGCCGCCTGTGGGCACCTAAACGCGGTAGCAAGCAGGTGCTTACACCTTTCTTTCCTACTGCTTTCCACCTCCTCTGCATCTCTTCTCTTCTTGTGTGTGTGAGTGGACATGCACACACGTGTGCATGCACTGATACTAGGACTTGAACTCAGGGCTTTTTGGACACTTTTTTTAGCTTTTTCGCCCACAGTGGGTGCTCTACCACTTGAGCCGCAGCTCCACTTGGGGCTTTTTGGTGGTTTACTGGCAAGAAGACTCTCACAGACTGTGAACCACGACCCCTAGATCTCAGCCTCCTGAGTAGGTAGGAAGGACGTGTGTCATTCTACACACGTGGGGTGTGCCCGGGGAACGGGATCCTGCTGGCAGTGAGGGTGACGTGTGTCTCTGGCACGGCTGACTGGCGAGAGGCCAGCGAGGCCAGCGGTGAGCGTGGGACGCGCAGGACTCTAGGACGAGGCTCTGGCTCTGATCTGCCGCTTAGAAACCCCACGGTCCTGGGACGTGGAAGGCAGAGCTTGGCCAGCGCGCCCACCTGGCCCTTAACAGCCTTTGACCAACCCCGCTCTGCTTGTTTAAGGTGCTTGGCCTGCCGCCCCCCCACTTTGTGCAGACGGCTTCCAGGAGACAGACGTTCTTTGGTAAGCCCCTCGCTGCAGCCTGCATCGTCCCGTGGGGTTTCGAGATGCACCAGGGGCCTCCACCCCATGGGCCCCTTGGCAAGAGCAGTGCAGTCACCAGGCCCTGGTGGCTCACTCCTGTCATCCCAGCTACTCAGGAGGCCAAATCCACGCAGGAGAATGCTCTAAGACTTCACTGGTCTCCAATTAACCCCCAACCCCCCGCCCCAATGCAGCTGTGGCTCAAGGGGTAGAGTGCTAGCCATGAGCAAAAAAGCTAAGGATAATAAACGTAGGCTCTGAGCTCAAGCCCCAGGACTGGCAAGAATCTTAGGGACTTTCCTTCCTGAGCTGCTTTTCCACTGTGACCCTCAGATCTCAGCCGCCTGAGTCGCTGGGATGACAGGCGTGAGCCACAGTGGCTTTTTATCTTACCTGGTAAAATGGCAGCCACGTTGTCTAGAGCTCTCCATTGCCACTACAAATTTAGTGTGCACACGAGCCATTATTGGGGCCCCAGATCCACTTCCTTTCCTGCCTGGGCTGGCTTCCAACTGCGATCCTCAGATCTGTCTCTCTTGAGTGGCTGGGATGACAGGCGTGAGCCCCGGCATCATGCAGCCAGTGCCGTTTGACTTAACCCATCTGACCTAGAAAGAATGCTCAAACACTACCAAGGGCAGAACAAGTTGCTTCTCCCCTAACCCCCACATTAATGAGCTGAGCTGGGGGTGGGGAAGGAAGACGTAAGAGGGCTGCAGACACCCCCCCCCCACACACACACTTGTAGGAAGCAGCAGAGGGGAGGGACAGCTGGGAGGTGATCCATGGCGACTTCCACCCGGAACTAAATACAGAATGTTGTATCTCTAAAGATTCCAAAGGTTTTCCTAAAAATATAACCAACAACAGGGGGAAAAAAAGGTACCCGGATTCCAAGGACCTGACCATGGTGCTGAAAACCTGCGACTCCAGCTTCCTGGACTTTGTCAAGAGGTGTCTGGTGTGAGTCCACTGGGGTGGCTGTCTGCCTCCACTTTGCTTTCCAGTGGAGGCTTTCCTCAAGAGGCTGGGCGGGGAGACAGACAGTTGAAAAATAGCAACCGGGCGGGCACTGGTGGCTCACGCCTGCCATCCCAGCTCCTCACAAGACAGATCTGAGGAGCATGGTTCAAAGCCAGCCCAGGCAGGAAAGTCCACGAGACTCATTTCTAGTAAGTTCCTCCCCACCCCTCAAACAAACAAAAAAGAGCCAGAAGTGGAGCTGTGGATCAAGTGGTAGAGCACCAGTCTTGAGTATAAAAACAGAGATGGTGCGCAGGCCCAGAGTTCAAGGCTCTGTGTGATACCTGCTCTGTTTTGCCCAGCCTGGGTTGGCCGATGCTACCACGTGTAATGGGAGCGCGGCTGTGGCCGCTTACAGTACCTGTTTATCAGCGCTAAGCGCATTTTCAATGTCAGAAACTTAGGCTGGCTGGGTATTTTGGTCGAGGCACGGTGTACGGGAAATCCTGCCCAGTGCTACTGCGTGAGGAATTTTACAGGCGCCTCTTCAAGGAGTGCAGGTAGATTTAGCTATGTGGCCTTAGGCAAGTCCAGGCCTCAGTTTCCTTTTCTATGAGAGCCTCCTCAGCCCTGCCAGCCCCCAACACCAGCATTTTAAGGAGCCTCTGTCTCCATATTCTCTCCTGGGGGTGTTGACACACTTTGGAATCCTGGCACTATCTCAGAGGGGGAAATGTCTGGGTGTTTCTAGAAGTATCCTGAGATGGAGGGTGAGTCATGCTACACTCCTAGTGGATGATGATGGTGGAGAAGGCTCTTACACCCTCATTTTACCCCTGGTCCCCATCTCGGCCTGTGGTTGATGCTGGGGTATGAGATGTACCCTACAGATAGAAACAGAAGTACAGCCGTGGCTCAGGTGGTAGAGCACCAGCCAGCCTTGGGTTGCAAAAGCTCAGGGAGAGAGACAGAAAATTCCAGAAACCCAGCCTAGCGCCACTAAAGGTACTTTCATTTCGAGTTGAAAAGATGAATGCATTACAAGATGACAGGGCCTCTCTGGGCACCCGGTCCTAGGGCTAAGTCCTCCTGGGAGGGACTGAGCCTGGAGCCACGCCAACAGGCTGCCAGGAGAGGGTGTCCAGATGGGAAGAGGGGAGACAGTTTGCAGGCAGTTGATGAAGAATCAGAAGGCTGAGTCGTCTAGAACGTTCCTTTCGCCCTCCAGCTGGAGTTCCCATGATGGAAGCTGGTGTGAAGGCGGCGATGGGGAGGTTTTCGGCAGGTGGCAGGCTGTGCTGTGAAGGGAGGCCATCAGGCAGGATTGGGAACTGTGTTCAGGTTCCTGGCCAAAGTCCCAGGCTCGGTCCCCTGGGCTCCATCTCCCGCATAAGCAGATTTACCAGAGTTATGTGGCTGACTGGTATTGAGAATGGCAAGGTAACTGGGTCATACCCGAAACGGCACGAGTCTGCTTGAGTTAGATTCCAGTTCTCTTGTGCAAGTTATTTTCTGGGCGCAGTATTGAGGTTTGAACTCAGGACCTGGCATTAGCTAGGTTGGTGTTTTGCCACTGGTACCATGCCTCCAGCCCAGCTTTTGTGCTGGTTATTTTAGAGATGGGAGTCTAAGAGAATTTCTGGCCAGGCTAGCTTTGAACCATGATCCCGCTAGATCTCAACCTCCTGAGTAGCTAGGGTTACCGGTGTGAGCCACCAGCGCTCAACTAAGTTCTTTGATAAATTTTAACAGTAAGTAAATCTTTCATATTCTAGAACTCTCCAGTATTCTTTGTGATATAGTTGGAGGTCTAAATTTCAGTTTGGGGACTTGAAAGCATCTCTCTGCTTTGATCCAAATCCTGACATTCATTTGTCAGTCATGGGGTACGAGGTAAAACTCAGGGCCTGGGCATGCTCTACCACTTGGAGAGACAGCTGTGTTTCTTCAAATACTTCTAGAATTTTTAGAAATTCTAGGAAACATGGAATTCTTTTTGTGCTGGTCCTGGGGCTTGAACTCAGGGCCTGGGTGCTTATCTCTTGAGTTTTCTTTGGCTCAAGGCTAGCGCTCTACCACTTGGGCCACAGCTCCACTCCTGGCTTTTCTGGTGGGTAACTGGAGATGAGTCTCACGGACCTTCCTTCCACCTGTGCTGCTTGGCTCTCCAATGCCTGGCTGAGAACTAGGAATGTAATATGTTCCTCGGGTCATTATGCACCTTTTCTAAACAGATGATTTCCAATGAGGGTTTCCAAGTCCTCATAAATCATGTGTTCCAAGAAGACATAGTGTAATGAAAACTGTGGCGATGGGGTATGAAGGGTCCGGTAGTAACATCCCCCCCCCCCCCCCGCTGTCCTGTGCAGATGGGAACCCTCCCTTCGCATGACCCCAGACCAGGCCCTCAAGCACGCCTGGATCCACGAGCCCCGGAAGCTGAAGCTGCAGCCCAGGCTCCAGAACCTGAGGAAACCGGGGTTCTTCTCTCCTCCCGACGCAGGCAACCACCGGGCGACCGACCACTTGGGCAGAAGCAGAAAAGGTAGAGCAGTCCAGCAGCAAGCCCACGTGCGCCCACTCCCCCCAGCCCCACCTTGGCCCGCGAGCCCCTCCAGCCTCCCCCCAGCACCGCCTGCTGGGCTGGTCCCTTCCTCAAGAAACTCGGGTTACCTGGAGTCCTCCTTTTTGCCTCTTGTCTGATAAGATTTTTTTTCTGTCAGTCATGGGACTTGAACTCAGGGCCTGGGCGCTGTCCCTCAGCTCTTCAGCTCAAAGCTAGCACTCTATCACTTGAGCCATAGCACCACTTCCAGTTGTCTGGTGGTTTACTGGAGATCAGAGTCTCATGGATGTTCCTGCCTGGGCTGGCTTTGAACCGTGATCCTCAGATCTCAGCCTCCTGAGTAGCTGGGATACAGGCAGGAGCCACTGGTGCTCAGCTTCTGATTATTATTCTCCTATATTAAAATGATTTGTCAATAGTGATCAGGACGATGTCCGTGGTATACAGTGTTACCAGTGAACTATTTTTCTATCATTACTAGTTCTGTCATTACTGTGTGTGTACGTGTGTGTGTGTGTGCTAGCATTGGGTTTTGAATTCAGGGCTTAGGTGCTGTCCCTGAGCTCTTTTGCTCAAGACTAGCACTCTCCCATTTGAACTACTGCTCCACTCCTAGTTTTTGGCAGGCTCATTGGAGGTTAAGAGTCTCACAGACTTTCCTGCCCAGGCTGGCTTTGAGCTGCGATCCTCCAATCTCAGCCTCCTGAGGGGCTGGGGTGCCAGGTGTGAGCCTTCAAGCCTGGCTGTCCAGAGGTAACCACACGCACCCCTCTCTGCTCTCCTCCAGCAGGTGAGATCATCAAGGAGGTCACAGACAAGTTCAAGGATGGCACCAAACTGGTCCAGAGTTCCGGTGACCAGCAGGGCACTGTCCAGCACCCAGCCGACAAGGTCCAGCTACCACATCTGACCGAAGCTTCTGGAAAGCCAGAGGCTGTGACTGGGCCTGAGATTTCCATCACCTCCACAGAAGAACCGGGCAAAACGTCCTCCCCCCCGAACACAAATCTTTTACCGCCTCTTGTATGACCCTGGCCCCGGGTGACAGTGTCCCTTCCACCAGTTACTGGATTAGAGGCAGCGCTTGTAGTGTACAATATTTCATATTGTTGTTGTTTTTAACACATAAAGGTTTATTTACAAAAAGAAAAATGGCCAGCTAATGTGGGATGGGGGTAGACGTCCACGGATCTGAACTGTGTGTGCACGTACATACTGTGTGCGCGCGCACGTGTGTGTGTATAGGAGGTAGTTTGAAATATATACTGTTGTAGGAATTCTAAATAAAAGCATCTTATTTTTTTCTTGCCGTGACTGCTCTTGTTTGGAGAGGATCGTGATGCCCTCATGCTGTCACAGGACTCAGATTCCCTCTTATCTGTGGCGTTCGGCTTTGTCTTCCTGTCCTCCTCTTCTCTGATAGACTGGGTCCTTAAGTCAAGGCCATGGAAACCCCCAGCCACGATACACCGTCTTCTTGCAGCTGTGTCAGGCCGGACGTGGCCAGAGGCCCGGGATGGAGGGAGGGCTTCCCAGTGGAGAACAGGGCGGGAGAGGGTGGAGCTCAGTTTTCCAGAGACATCCCTCCCCAGCAATGCCAAAGACAAACACCACAACTCTCAGACCCAACCCTGTCCACGTGCTAGCACTCAACTGCACACGCACATCACTGCGTTTAGACCCGTGAAACTGGCCACACTCTCAACAGGGAGAAAACACCCAGGTGACACTCCACAAAAGGTGACGGGCAGGAAACCAAAGGCATGGATCTGGATGAGTCGGGGGGAGGGGGAGCGTGTCCACAGTGAGTACGCGAGGTGGGAGAACAATTAGAAGCCAAGTGAGGAAGTTTCCAGAAGGAGAAAGGGTCAAGCACATGTGGGACTGGACACCCCACACAGGGGCTGCTGGGGCACCGTGACTCGGGCGTGGGAGCACGGATGTGGCCAGGGGTCCGCCCGCGGGCCTGCCCTGGGGCTGGCTGGCTGCTCCAGGCCCCGAGGGCGGAAGCAGATCCTGGCTGCGGCTTCAGGGGCCATCTGTCCGATTCTCTCCTCTCTCCACCCCTGGACCCCCAAGGAAACCAGACTCTCGGGGCCCTTTAATTGTAATCTTTTAATTTTTCGTCCTTGCTCGCATGGACAGGAAAATCTGCAAAATCCAGTGGCTAGCATTAGATGACTCGTCGGATAGGCGTGGGTAGGGCTCTGGGGGTGGGGCGTGGCGAGGACGGGGCGGGGCCGGCCGGGCGCTGATCACAGGTTCAGCATCAGCCAGTCCAGCAGCTGCAGCCGGGTGACGTTCCCCACTGCCTCGTCCAGCTGCCGCTCCTTCTCGTAGCGCAGCACGGACTGCAGGACCTCCCCGACGCTGCGGCCTTTCTCCACAGCGGCGGCCGAGAGCTGGAGCAGCTGTGGAAGGCAGAGAGCAGGGTGGAGGGGCGGCTGCCGGGCCGGGGCTCCACATGGAAGGGCAGGCGAGGAGAGCCCCCCACGGCCCTGCCCCAGACGCCACCAGTGATCCCCGAGGAAGAGCTTCAGGGAGGACACACGGAGCAACCACACGTGCAGCACAAAAAGCCCCGTCGCCTCCCCCAGGAAGTGAGCGCCAGGGCTGACGGCTGGGGCTTCAGGTGACAAAGTTTCTGCCCATCGAGCAGTTCCAAATCAAGGGACAGAGCCACGGGATGGGAGGACATCTTTGCTCGCTCCTCAACAGAGAAAGGATTCAAACACGAGGCGCTCACAAGACCACAGCAGCAGCGGAGGAGCCAACTCACAAATGAGCAAATGAACTGACGCGAGTCAAAGACTCGGCAACCGTTCATCTTTAGCCAGACAGGAAATGCAAACCCCACCTACGCTAAGATCCCCACACAGAGAAGGCTGGCGAGGGGGCGGGGAAGAGGACCACCAAGACCGGGCTGGAGGGTGCAGCCCCCACGGAGAGATCAGTATGGAGACTCTACCCCCCACATCTAGAACCTTCCTCAGCACTCTGCGGGTGGAGCAAGCTGTGTGGACACCTCTGTCAGTTCCCAACAGCCACGGTGCCTGACACCGCGTGGGGAGCAGGCGCAGTCCTGCTAAGGCGAACGCGGACGTGGGTTTCTCGTGTGGGCGGGGCGCTACCATCCTGGCTTCCGGTGCCCCAGCCACACACGGGAGCAGGCTCACGTACGCAGACGGAGGCGCCCCCTTTCTCCATCTGTGAGGTCATCTTCCCCCTTGTCGGGGGGGGGGGCACGCTGTCCCACTGACCCACCACAAGCCCGCAGGCCCGCGCTCCAATGTTCCTCTCGGCCCTGGGCTTCTGTGCTCTGTGCTTCTGCTTTACTGCTCCGTAACTTGGCAAAGTCCAGACCTTCTCCCTCCTCATCCCCACCCTGGGGAACTTTCCAGAAGCACTGTCTCCTTCTCCAGTCCTCCGTGCCTTCCCACACAGATATCCAAAAGACAAGGCGCCTTAGGATCCCGCTTCCTTCCCTGGGAGGCTGCTCACCCGCGCTGCTGCTCACCCGCGCTGCTGCTCACCAACACAAGCAGAAAAGCAACCAACCCAACCCTTAGTTCCTCCCTCTCCCCCCGCCCCGGGACTGCACCTCTGTGACTCTAGAGACCCAGAATCTGGTCTCGCGAGAGCTTCGGATCCCTTCCCAATGCCGTTCCCGAGTGGACACCCCCGGGGTCTGGCTCTCCAGGGCGGCGGCCGGGCGCCCCTGGCCGGGGCCTTACCTTCTCCTGGATCCCTTCATCGTCGCCGGCGAAGTAGAGGATGGGGACGTTGAGCTCGGAGGCGGCCACCCACTGCAGCACGGCCTGCAGCTGCTTGTTCTGCACGGTGTCCGTGAGGTTGTGGTTGCTCACGATGACCCTGGGGATGGCGCAGCCCTCGGGCAGCTGCCCGTAGGCGCCCCGCAGCTCGTTGTGGATGGCCTGGTAGGCGTTCTGCAGCAGGGCCTCGGCCGTGCCCGTGCCCCGGGCCGGCAGGCACTCGTACAGGCTGTCGGGCAAGGCCGAGGTGGGTCGGCTGGCGTCGCCCGATTTGTCGTCTCCCAGCTCGGCCAAGGGCGAGTCGCAGGACTTGGCGATGATGAGGCACAACTTCATCACCGAGTCGACCAGATGGTCCAGCATGTGGCCGGGCGCGCGGCCGTCCAGCTGGCTGGCCACCATCTTGGTGAGTCCCGAGAGGGTGCCGTCCACCTCCTCGTCGCAGAGCCTGGTGGGGCACGGGGTCAGGGGCCGCTCGCACTGGCACTCCTCCCTCGCTGGCTGCTCTGGGACCTTGGAGGCGCAGCCGCGGTCCCCCTTGAAGATGGTCTCGCCCAGAAGGTTCCGGATGAAATTGAAGATGACGCTCATGAGGTCTTTCTTCTCGGCCTGCTCCTGGTCGCACACCCGGGGCGGGGGGTTGGGCCGGCTCTCCTCGGGGCTCCCGCTGTTGGGGAAGTTGGTGGTGGCGGCGGCTTCCAGAAAGCTCTGGGCGTCCATCCTGCCCCCCTGTGCCAGGTGGTACTGGATGAGCAGCAGGGCCGACACGATCAGGTCTTTGCCCCACGAGTCGGCGTCGCACATGAAGTTCTCCATGCTCTCGGGGTAGGGCAGCGGGGGGCTCAGGTCGCACACGTCCGGGGAGTCGGAGGGCGGGTCGGCGGCCAGGCCCGGCTCGGGGTCGGTGGCGGGCGACTTGGAGTCCTTCTGATGGTTCTTGTGCCACATGGTGAGCCCCTGCCTGATGATGTGCTCGCCCAGCGTCTCCATGCACGTCTTCTCCTTCTCCGGCTTGCAGGTGGAGTACATCCTCTCGCGGATCTTGGCCTCGGACTTCATGAAGTTCATGTTGCGCCCCTTCGGGTCGCCCCGGCCCTTCATGGACACCATGGAGAAGCTCTCGCACTTGTCCTTGGTCTTGCGCGTGCCCTCGGGGAACTTCTTGGAGAAGATCACGTTGTACAGCTTGCCCATCATGGCGTCCATGATGTCGGTGGCCTTCTGGCTGCCCTGGGAGAAGAGGCTCCGCTTCACGGCCGAGACGAAGTCCGTGTCGGTCATGAGGGTGCCGGTGACGTTGTGCAGGTTCTTCATGAACGAGTCGATGAGGTCCGACACCACCTCCTTGGCGTGCTTGATGAGCACCTGCTTCAGCAGGATGGTGGCGATCGTCGTGTCCTTCACCTGGATGCGCAGCGTCTTCATGATCGACACCATCATGTCTGACACCACGCTGTTGGCGTAGGTCATGATGCCCTGGCTGACGGAGGCCGTGAAGTCGTCGGGCCTGTCGCGGCCCGAGAAGATCTTCCGGTCTCCGGGCAAGGCCCGCCCCCCCTCGCGGGCGTCGCCCGCGTTCCGAGACTCGAACACTTCCTTGTAGAAGAACGACTTCTTGGACGAGGGCTTGTCATCGGGGCCTTTGTTCTCCTTGATCTTCAAAGTGCTCTTGTATTTGAAGTTCGGGGGGCTCCGCGAGGACCCCAGGGCCCGGTCTCCGGAGCCGGGGGCCTTGTCGGGGGCCACGGTCTTGGAGCACGCGAAGACCGTGTCGTCCACCAGCTCCGAGGCGATGGTGCTGAGGCTCTTGGTGGGCGCGGGCTCTTCGCCCAGGTAGAGCGACTGGTGCACGCACTTGTTCTCCGAGCCGTCGATCTTCTCGTTGATCTCCTTGCGCGCCATCGCGATGACGAGGTTGGTGAGGCGGTTGGCGTAGAAGGAGACCTCGTCCACGGAGCTCGAGTTGCCCAGCGGGGTGCCGGGGCACTGCGGGTTCTCCTTGTGCGTCATCTCGAAGTGCAGCCGCCCCGGGCTGCCCTTGGCCGTGGTGCTGTAGTAATCGATGGAGAAACCTTTGCGCACGTCCGCCGGGCTGGCTGGCTCCTCACCCAGAGAGGACTCGCCGGGCTTGAACCGGAGATCTTGGAGCCCTGCTGTGCTCTTCTCCAAGTCGCGGCGGAGCCAGCTAAGGACTCGGACAGGATCTGTTGACTCATTCTCCAAAAGGGAAACACACACCAAGACACCGTCTCACCATGGAGCAAAGGTTCGGCACAAACACCGCGCCCCGCTCCCGACAAAGGAGACCCACGTTTATCGAGTGCTTCCTGGGGGACCAGGTGTGGACTTAGGGGCTTTTGTTACCACTATCTCATTGAATGGGGTTCTCATCATAAGGCTCCATATTAATACCCTATCATGATCCCCGTTTTACAAGAAAGGAAACTGAAAAGCCAAGAGGTTATTAAGGTCATTAGCCTTTCAAGGGCTAAGTGGGAGGCCAGAGTCCCCAGTTCCTTAGGGTCTGAGAGGTTGTCAGCCCCACTGAAAAGATCCTTTCCTGCCCGGGCTGGCTTCAAACCATGATTCTACCCCGAGAAGCTGGGATTTACAGGCATGCGTTACCAATGCCTGGCTTCAACCACAGTATTTTAATCAAAATCCCTTTTCAAAAGAGTTACTCTTTTCCCCCTTTCATGAAGAAAACTAAGCAAAGGGTGGCGATGTGTATCTGGAACGTCTCTCACACACTAGTCCAACCACTGGCTCCAGAGTAAAATACAACCAAGAACCAACTAGCAATCCACATGGATGGTACCGCAACCATCTACACTTCAGTCAGAAGTAATCCCTAGGAGTTCCCTAGGAGGCTGGTCTTACCAGACGGGGCCTGACTATCGATCTCCTTGTGTTTACACTATTGGAAGTTTGCATGAGGTGTATTAGCTTTCAGTTCCTCTACTGCTGCTCTTCCTGACTCTGAGAGCCTGGCCGGGCCAGGCATATAACCTGCAGTTCCTGCCCAGACAGGCCTAGCTACAAACTTCTCCAGAACTATTGCGTCGAATGAGTACCGCAACCATTTGTGTGTGTATGTGTGTGTGTCCTGGCTAGGGCCTGAACTCAAGACCTGGGCACTGTCCCTGAGCTTTTGTGCTCAAGGCTGGCGCTCTACCACTTGATTTATAGCGCCCCTTCCGGCGCTGGTTCACTTTTCTGCCACAGCCGGCTTCAAACTGTGACCCTCAGACCCCAGCCTCCTGAGTCGTTAGGATTACGTGTGTGAGCTACGGGTGCCTCCAGCTGTTTATTTTTTAAAGTCTAAAATGTGCAAACCCCGTGACTCCAGGTGACTCAAAGCAATGTGGGTTCTGGGCCCAAAGACCAAGTCCGCACGTTATTTTCCTGCCGCTGCCATCCAGCCGGTCTCTGCAGAGCCGCTGTGTCTCCTGTTACGCAGTGGCATTTCTGAGTCAGGTTCTCCTCGAGGAGTATGGGAAGGGTTCTGTTCAGCAGCGTCCCTCTTACCTCATTAACTCTGGCCACGCCCCCTTCCTTAACCACTGCAGCCCTGGCCGGAGCCAGTCCACTTGGTAAATACTCCTGAGCTGGGGTTACACATGTGTCCATTTCTTAGAGCCTTAAAGTTCTACTTCGATTTTCACATGGTGAGATGGTGAATGGTTAAAGCTCACAGGCAGAATTTCTTCTGTTCTGTTTTTAATCTCTCGAAATGCTTCTCAATTAGCAAGACAAAACAGAATGAAATTTTCATTCATTTCATCTCACAGGAACAAGAATCTGCCTTTTCCCTCCAGGACAGGGCAGAGGTCAGGAGAGGACCCACGGGAGCACCTACAAAAGTTGTCAGACTGCGGGAGTTTCACATTCATGACTCACATGCCTTCTAGTTTGAAGAGGCTTTGCCAGTGTTTGCTCTCTTAGGGTCTTACGGATAAGAAAACAGATCTGGGGAGAGGATGAATAGTTCTGTAACACAATGTGTAACTGCCTGTGGAAGCCACATAGAGACCCTCCAAGAATCGAGCTGCTGATGAACAGGGAATGGGGGACAAACCTGTGGGGGCTGGGCTGAGCAAACGGAGGCGTTCCTGCAACCAGGAAAATACAGTGAAACAGAGGAAGGGGAGAACAGAGGCCGTGAGACTGGCCAGAATGCACTGTGTACACGGGTGCTGAACAGAATGACGCACCCTCTTGTACGATAGTGGGAAGGAAAGAGGGAAGGAAAGAAGGAAGGAAGGAAGGAAGGAAAGGAAGGAAGGGAGGGAGGGAGGGAGGGAGGGAGGGAGGGAGGGAGGCAGTGAGGGAGGGAGGAAGACAAACAGAAGATGGATTATCTAAGACTAAAGGGACACAGATGTTTGGTGAACATGAATGCCCTGCTCTGGACTGTGATAATGACTGCACTAGAACATGAGACCCTTCTTACTGTGCGTGCACATGTGTATGTGTGCGTGGGTCTCCATGAATGCAGGTCCTGTGCTCTGTTCTTTAGCTTTTTCACTTAAGACTTTTTCACTGAAGCTTTACTGCTTGAGCCACAGCTCTACTTCTGGTATCGAGTCTCACAGACGTTCCTGTCTGGGCTGGCTTTGAACCTCGATCCTCAGATCTCAGCTCCCTGAGTAGCTGGGATGACAGGTGTGAGCCATGATGCCCAGCTTTCGTTTACTTTTACGGTTCTTATACCTCTCACTAGAGGTCTATGCAACGACACTGCCTTCAACCCAAACCCACCCTTAACCGAAGGCCTTGCTTTGTGACTCTGGGTCTAGACTGTTGCACTGGGGGAGCGGGGGGCATTGGGGTCACAGGAGGAAGGGCAAGCTTCCTGTGGGCCCTCTCCTCTCCCTCTCCCTCAGCCCAGGGAAACAGCTGCTTTCTGCACTTGTTCTTTCTGGAATTCCTGAAGTCCCTCCTCTTCATGTCTTTTGGTCGTGGAGATGTGTTAAATCACTGGTGTGCTTTGCCATCTTCCAGTGGGATCTCGGTTGTGCCAGTGGCTGAGGCTGAGTAAAGGTTTAGAGGCTGCTGAGCGGCAACCACAGGGAGACGAGACACAGTGCTTAGTCTCTGCAGGCTTCCTACCCTAAATTTAGCAAAGCACCTTCTAGGAGGAGCCTTGTAGGTATCTCCTTCCAACCCACAGCTGCTTGAAGAGTAAAAACCAAACAAAAACGACAGCTACGGTACCTACTTTTTAAAGGTCATAGCCTATTTCTCCTACTGACCATTATGTCATAGTTTCTGTTGTGGGCTTCTTTAGAGACTGGGACATGAACTTGGTATTGGCTACTTCTGTTCACTGGCTGTTGTTCTACCACCTGAGCCATGCTACCAACTCCTGTTTCGTTTTGGATTTTTTTGATGTATAAGGAGCTCATTCTTTTTCCCCCACCAAGAACACCACTTTCTAATAAGGGGCCGGATGCCAGTGGCTCATACCTGTCAGCTAGTCGGGAGGCTGAGATCTGAGAATTGTGGTTCAAAGCCAGCCTGGGGAAGAAATCTGCAAGACTTTTATTTCCAATTAGCCATCAAAAAACTGGAAACGGAGCTGTGGCTCACACGGTAAGAGCGCCAGCTGACAGGGCCTAGGCTGTGGGTTCTAGCCCCAGTGCTAACACATGTGCATGCACATGTGCACCCCGCCCCAGACGGTGGAGTCAGACTCAGCTCCACAGCTGTAGCTCAGTGCTGAGGAAGACATTCACCCTTACCATTTTCCATTCCTGGGGTTGGCTGTCTCCAGGGGAATAGACATCAACTTTGCAGACTCCATTTTGACTTTGTAACCAGTCAACCTTATCCGCCATCTACAAGGAAAAGAGGGGAAAAAAGAAAAAAAAAATCACCAAGAAGGACAGGGAGCACAAAATCAGTGATGGCCAGGATGCAGGAAGCAGTGTTTTCAGCCGGCACCAGACGCAAGGGCCTGGGAGACACACTGAACTCTGGGTATTTTTATCCCCTGCTCTTCAGGGAGGGGCCAGTGCTGGCGTGTGCTCATACGTGCTCTCCGTGATCATGACTTGCTTTTCAACCCTCCCTGCACCTTCAGATTCTCAGTGGACACTCAGAACTAAATGTAACTAGAGCACATTACCTTCCCTCTTGCCTGTGCTTTCTGCTTCACCAGTCTGTATGATGATGCTGATGACTGACCTGTTTGTGATCCTAAGCTGAAGTGGCATTTTATATACAACTGCTTGGAATCGGTGGCCTATCGCTAGAGGCAGCACCGGATGGCGCCTGCTCTGTGCTCCCTGGCCACATTTCAAAGCCGGTCCACGGGAAGTGTCTGGCTCACCAGCAATGTTCGTTTTAGAGGACTTTGGCTGTGATGAGGGTATGGATAAGCCCGGTGGAAGCACAAACGGATGCATCATGAGTTACAAAGAAGCGTGGCTAACTATTAAGAAGAAATACAGGATCATTCAAAAGATGCTTGTTCTTCGAGCCCACAAAGATAGATTTAAACCTGCTTCCCTTCTCTAGGGACTCAGTCGCTGAACAAGGAAAAGTTCCTCACTCCTGCTTAGAACATAATGCAATGGGCTCTCCACATTGATTACTGGTGGCCTCCCCCCCTCCCCCCCACTACTCAAGGAACTGTTGGAAGATACCAAATCGAGCCTGGGCATGATGCCACGTGCCTGTAATCCCGGAGGATTACAGGGAGGAGGAGGGAGGAGGATCACAAGTTTTGAGGCCAGCCTAGGTTCCAAGCCAGTCCCTCTCTCATGGACAAAAGAGATGCTGACTGAATCTGAGCTACCATTTCCAGAAAGTCTTCAACTGGTTTTGGATTGAGGAAATACAGGCACAGGAAATGCTGTAGAAGGTCTCTGGGTGACCTTCTAAGGCACACTCCGAACGTAGCAAACCCTGAGGCAGGGGTTCATCCGCAGAGACGCTGAGGAAGGTGGGCAAGCTTTGGGAAGATAATTGTGGGGGTGGAGGGGGAGACAAACTTTTTTCCTGAGATGCATTTCCTAACTTTGTTACCTTTGTGTAATAGTTCGTTATCTTAGCAAGGAAGTTAATGTCTATGAGTGAGATGACACTTTCTGCAGCAGCTCATATATCCATGATATATAATAACCATGATATATACAAATATATCGTCTATACCATACACATATGTGCATATATAACATATGATCCAATATTATCACAAATTTAATCTTTTCTCTTGGAGGTACTGGGAATAGAACCCAGGGCCTTGTGTATGCTTGGCTAGGGCTGGACCACCGAGCCACATCCCCGCCCTACAAAAAAGTTGTATGCTTGCACGGTAACCATGAAGAAAAGAACTAATGAAGTAAAACAGGATTATCACTTCACCAAACTATGAGAAAACCAACAGTGCAAATCAAAGCCAGAAATATACATCTCTTAAAAGAATCTCCACTTTGTATTTCATTTCAGTGAGGTGCTTCTAAGAGAAACTGTCCACACCGACAGCCTTATTTCAGCTGTATATACTATGATCCAAACGAAGTTTAAGAACGTAAGTGGTGACTTACTCTTCCTGAGGACGGGTTCTGAGATATGAGGAAAGCTCTTGATTAATAAGTTGTCTTCACTATTCCTAACTTTATCAACCCCTCCTGCCATGTAATAAGATAAGGAATCTGCAATGGGAAGACACACACACACACACATACACATGGATTAATTTTACATAGGAATTCTACTGCTGTTATAACAATAATGAATCTGACTTACTTGTTGTTTTTATACGTGCACTCAAATGACCAGCACAAAATAACATTTCAATTTCACAGAGGTTTTAGGTGGTAGTGATTTAACACGTATACACAACTAAAAGTCATGAAGAGGAAGGACTTTATTTAGGAATTCCAGAAAGAGCAAGTGCAGAAAGCAGCTATTCCCCGGGCTGAGAGAGAGGGAGAGGAAGCGCGCAGAGACTAAGAGCTCTCGAGAGTTCGTCTCCTCCAACCAGGGCTGTTGCCGCCACCTTTGGAGAGAGTCCGGCCCCGGGAAGTTTGCTAGCGGCTGCTCTTCCTGTGACCCCAGTGCCCCCCGTTTTACCCTTACGGCATTCGGACAGTTGGGAGATGGCAAAAAAAAAAAAAAAAAAAGTTCAGGGATAATTCTGGAAATGACCTCTGTCATTCTTTGCCTTCAAATCACTGCTATATATTGAGAATTCTGGGGAGTCTACACCCCGATCCCTAACAAGCTTGGGTCGAAGCTGGAAGGGGAAGAGGCAGGAAGGGGGATAAGTAATCCCAATTCCTGGATCTCACAACGTTCTGCAGGGATTCTTTGGGGAATTTGAACACATATCCTCACGCAGTCCAATACACCTAACCAACACAGAGCTCAACACGTCCTAACGCTCTTCCTCTGCTTTCCATGTCCTCCGTGGTGAGGCTCGTCTGAGATGGATAAAACTCCCTCCGATTGTGCCGGGGTGGCTTTATTGGCCCAGTGGGGTTGCCTACCTCTGTAGCTCGCGAACAGTGAACCACAGAAGATTCCAGAACACACTTTGAAAGTCAACAAAGATGCTGGGCTGGGATGTTCTTGCTCAGCTCAAGATCTTGATTCCTCCTCCAGCCTTCCATGCACCTCACCCTTGTTGGGACTGGGGAGTGACATCAGAATTGCAACTGGTGACATCACCATCTCCACGGCAACCCTGTAAGGCTACCAGAGGGGTCAGGGGACAGGTGAGGGTGAGGGTGAGGGCGAGGCGGCACTGCCGGGGCTGGCTGCCTCTCGCAGAGGTGGGGGACATGGGAAGAGGCTTTCTCAATGGATGCCAACCAAAAACAACAGAGTAAATACTAGTAATGAACTCAGATGGCTGGAGAGGAGAGTAACAATTGAGAGGCGCATTCAAAGCCCAGGAAATCAATTCGTTGTGTTGGAGCCAGCTTGGAATCCTGTTTACAAGCGTTTAATCGTACTTTTTGTAAAAACAGACCTTTTGGACTGGCACTGGCCCCTACCTGTATTCCTTCCAAGCTACCCACCCTGCCAAGGCTGAGATCTCAAGATTGGAGGTTTAAAACCAGCCCAGGTAGTAAAGTCCGTGACTCCAACAGCAAAAAGCTGTGATGGAGGGGTGGCTCAAGCGATAGAGCTCAAGCTCAGTTAGCAAGCTGAGCTCACACCCTGAAACTAGCAAACAACAACAGAAAAGAAACAACCCCAAACCTTCTGGGTATTTTGTGTAAAGTTGTAGTTTTCATTTACCCCTCCCTCTCTGCCTCCTTTCCTCCCTCCTTCTGGGTTACAAATTGCTTTAGATGAGCAACACACTAGCACTAATATACTCTACCCAATAACTAAACTGAGGAACCAAGCTAGGGAACATCAACAGGCCTTTACACTTTGGCTTGGTGTGTTGGTACTCTACCATCTGAACCTCCAGTCTGTTATTTTGCTGGTTAGAAATGGAGCCATATGAACTTTCCTGCCCAGGCTGGCTTTGAACCATGGTCCTCTGGATCTCAGTCACCTGGGTAGTGAGGACTGTAGGTATGAGCCACCAGTGCCCAGCTTCATATAATCTCTTGAGAAATGTTACTTTGAGGCTCAAGTGGTAGAATATCTGCTTCACAAGTCCCAAGTTCAAACCCCAGTACTACTTAAAATTTTAAAAAGGGTGCCAGGTAGTAGTGGCTCATACTTATAATCCCAGCAGCCTAGGGACCCAATCTCTAAAAACTAATCAGCTAAAAGTAGCACTGGAGTGTTGCTCAGCTGAGCAAGCAAGCCCAAAAAGTACAAGGCTCTGAGTTCAAACTCTGGTACCATCCTCCTCCAAAGTGTTAAATACCTGCAATTAATGGTTATATATAAGATGAGCACACTTCCAGGAAGCCAAAAGAATTCCCCCTGAAGGCAAGAAGATAGCTTAAAAACAGAGTCAAGGGGCTGGGAAGGTGGCTCAGTGGTAGAGTGCTTGCCTTGCATGCATGAGGCCCTGGGTTCGATTCCTCAGCACCACATAAGCAAAAAGAAAAAAGCTGGAAGTGGCGCTGTGGCTCAAGTGGTAGAGCGCTAGCCTTGAGCTGAAGAGCTGAGGGACAGCGCCCAGGCCCAGAGTTCAGGCCCCACGACTGGACCCCCCCCCAAAAAAAAAACCAGAGTCAAATTAGTTTATCACACCGTTCCTCCAAGCAAGTTATTTATCTGATTATCTTTTTATCAGATCTCAGTTGCTGTATCTTTAAAGAAATTGTACTTGGTTGACTCTTAAAATTGTGTGTGGGGGGGGAGGGGCTGGAGAGTGGCAGAGTGCTTGCCTTGCATGTATGAAGCCCTGGGTTCGATTCCTCAATACCACATAAGTGAAAAAGGCCAGAAGTGGTGCTGTGGCTCAAGTAGTAGAGTGCTAGCCTTGAGTTGAAGACCTGAGGGACAGTGACCAGGCCAAGAGTTCAAGCCCCCCCCCCCCACTACCACCAACAAAAAGAAAAAAATCAAGAAAAATATTTTGTGTGTGTGTGTGTGACAGTACTGGGGCTCAAACTCAGGGCTTGGAGGCTTCCTCTTAAGTTTTTTCACTCAAAGATAGCACTCTACCACTTGAGCCACAACTCCACTTCTGCCTTTTTGATGGCTAATCTCGTAGACTTTTCTATGGGGTCTGGTTTTGAACCATAGTCCTCAGATCCCAGCCTACTGAAGGTAGGCCAGAAGGACTTGTGTTTTGTTTTGACACTTTGGTAGCACGTGACTGGGACTGCACATGCCCACATCTGCCACCTTGCAGAAAACACTTCATGCCATGGACCCTCAGAATAACTATGAAAGCAAGAGCGCAGGCGCTACTTACCACTGCAAGGTGTGGATGGTACAGCTACAACTAAGAATTGCAAGAATGGAACTAGTCAAATAATCTGTGTATGAGAATCAGTGTTCTTAAAAGCGTGCACACACAAACACTACAAGCAATTATACAATACCTTGAAAGCCATAATGCAAGCAGAGGCATAGTTAGCAACTAGCTATTTGGTCTTTGTGTGTTTGTCTGTCTCCTGGTCCTGGGGCTTGAACTCTTGTTACTGCAAGCTGCAAACGGCATGAGCTGCTGGTGCCTGGCTAACGTACTTTAAAACTTCTAGTCTCTACTGATTCCAGAAGTCTCTAGATCCATGCAAATCCTCAAAGAGATCTATGGCAAAAACAAACAAACAAAAAGCCATTCCTCTAGAGAGCAACTGGAGTTTTCCTATAGAAAATAACAACTGTTGGGTATCAGTGTCATCCTGTAATCCTAACTACTCAGAAGGCTAAAATCTAGATTATTGTGGTATGAAACAAGCCCAGGCAGGAAAGTCTGTAACACTCTTAGCTCCAATTAATAAACAAAAAGAAGTAGAGCTGTTAACTAAAGTGGCAGAGCACTAGCCTTAAGTGGAAAAGCTCGGGGACAGCATTCTGGCCCAGGACTAGTACCCCTCTCCCTCCCCTTCCCCCCCAAAATACAAAAAACCCAACAAACTCTTCAGATGCCTGACAAACACTCCAGATTCACCCCTGAAGCTCTCCTGGGATTGTCAGTCTCATGGTGACTAAGTGCCTCGATAAATGAACTAAAACTCCCAAACTGGTAACTGTATATAAGTCAGTGAGCACATTTCTTTTTGGACAGTGTCACCTCCTTCCCTTCCTCTCTCCCAGCTTTCCCCTCCTGTCCCCCTCACAAGTTGTAGAGTTCACTTTCCACATAGTGTCCAGTGAGGACCACCGCTGCCTTTGTTCACCCTTTGTCCTTCCATTTTATAATGACTTCTTTTTAAAGAGAAAAACTTGGGGCTGGGAATGTGGTTCAGTGTTAGAGCACTTGCCTGGCAGGCACAAAGCCCTGGGTTCCATGCCTTAGTACCACATACACAGAAAGAGCCAGAAGTGGCGCTGTGGCTCAAAGTGGTAGAGAGCACTAGCCTTGAGCCAAAGAAGCTCAGGAACTGCGTCGGGGCCCTGAGTTCAAGCCCCAGGACTCGGAAAAGTAAAGGGAAAGACTTTTTTCCCCCTTCTTTACTTTTTAAAATCTGCATTTTCTTGCTGGTTCTGCCTTCTTTCTGTATGGTGTGTTCACGTGTGTTACCTTCGGGAGGCCCCGGAGCTGGAGGGAAACGAAACGCAGCCGTGGAGCTCTCGGGACGTGGGAACTGTCCGCCTCGCGGGTGGGAGAGTGTGCGCACCCCCCGACTCGTGTCGTCGGGATTCCTCTGTACACCAATAAAGCACGTTAACTATAGGCAGAACGAAAACGTGATATTAAAGTAACCAACCAACCAACCAACCCCCAACCCACATTAGACCCTGGGGCAGAGGCGGTCAGCACCCACCTGGGCCACGGCGACCCTGGGCACAGTCATCCTTCCCCGGGCCTGGGGTGGGGGGGGAGGAGAGAAAGGGTTCCCCCCCCCCGCAGAGAGAATGTTCTCGAAGGACTCCACATGCATCCATCTGGGGCTGCCACCTGCTGCTGTACTCAGAGTCGTCTTTCCCCGGGCAGGGGTAGGGGGGGAGGAAAAGGGTTCCCCCCCCCCCAGAGAACGTTCTCGAAGGACTCCACATGCATCCATCTGGGGCCGCCACGCTGCTGTGCTGAGTCGTCCTTCCCCGGGCCCGGGGTGGGGGGGGGAGGGAAAGGGTTCCCCACCCCCAAGAGAATGTTCTCGAAGGACTCCACATCCATCGATCTGGGGCCGCCACGCTGCTGTGCTGAGTCGTCCTTCCCCGTGGGGAGAGGGAAAGGGCTTCCCCCCCCCACAGAATGTTCTCGAAGGGCTCCACACGCACACTCC